AGGGAGTAGGTGAGGGAGTGTGTGGGTGGTTGGGTGAGGGAGTGGGTGAGTGAGTGTGCGGGTGGGTGAGGGAGTGTGTGGGTGGGTGAGTGAGTGTGTGGGTGGGTGAGTGAGTGTGTGGGTGGGTGAGGGAGTGGGTGAGTGAGTGGTTGAATGAGTGGGTGAGTGTGTGGTTGAGTGAGTGGGTGAGTGAGTGGGTGAGTGAGTGGGTGAGGGAGTGGGTGAGTGAGTGCCCTCAACATTGTAAGCGAATTTCTTTTTTAAATGTTTCATAATACATTTTGGCGAGCGAAGGGGTAGCTTGTTACTAACTAGCTACGAAGAAGCAACTCCACCCAGCAGTGGATAGACCAAGAAGGGGGAGGCCTCCACCCAGCAGTGGATAGAGCAAGGAGCTGTGAAATGCATTGTCAAGACGGCCCCCGCACCTCACATTAGCAGGGTTGGCTATGTACGGTGCGAAATAAATCAAACACACACACGCACGGTACAATATGGCCAGTCAGGTCAGTCCATGTGTTTGCTGCATGACACAAAGCGCCGTGGGGCTCAGTAGGGGTGACGACCATGATGATGGTACAAAATGTTCCGGTCCGAACGCTTTTTTGGCAGCGGCTCTCTCCTCAAGGGGTTATTTTGAAAGCGTGTTTTGTCCTTTCCTCCCGAAATACATCATATCCGTAAATATATAATAATTGAGTCATTAAACAAACCAACATCACATCCCACCGACAATTATCCGACGGCTCCGATCTCAGGCCAGTTTGGGGCGCGACGGACAAATTGTTGCGACCGGCAAAGTTTCGCCATCGCATGACTCACGTGCTCGCCTGCTCATTCGTGACCGCTTGTCAAAGCGACCAGCGATCTCCGACCGCACCTTGCCATAAGGCGTCGATGTTCTCTTTCGCACGGTACGCACGTAGCCCGACCGCGCTTCATCGCATGGTGCGGGTGAAGGACAAACCAATTAAACACAACAAATAGCAGTCCGAAAGAAATGAGTTTGCCAATCGATGTGATTTAAGAGTGCAGGGCCCCAGTGGGTTACTAATGTCACGAGGCAGAGCATTGGAGACGGCCGCAGGAGCGCATCTGAAAGGGCCGCGCGCGATGCGGTGACCACCGCCTTTGTGCCATGGCCGAGGCAAAATCTGATTCTGCGAAGATAAGCGGAGTTTGAAACGCGAAGATTCAATATGCGAAGTTTCAGAATAACGAACTTTGGATTTATTACCATTATAGTAATGGTAAAAATTTAAATAAGAGAATACATGGATGCACGGAAATCTATAAATAAATTATACAATTATCCATCTACGGTACGTGTGTTGAACTTCTTTCGCACCGTACGTATTCAACCGTGCTAATCGGGGGTGCGGTGGGAAGGACAGCAAAACACACAGAGCAGTCCTAAAGAAATTAGTTTATCAATCTAGATGATTTAAAAGTGCAGGGCTCCAGTGGACTTGTCATTGGCCTACAACACAAGTCTGGATTAAGGGCTTGATGTTGAAGCTCGCAATGTCCATTCCCTTGCCTTGAAACAATAACGACTGATATGTGGGACGATGCTGAGTAACAGAGGCGACTGCGTGTCGATATGGGGGACACTCACTCCCGTTCCTCAACAATGGATTGCCATAAGGTTCATCAGTAGTCACGCCAACTTTTTTCACTGTCTATACAGGCCACGGTGGTGAGATGTTACCTACCTCGCTGGGTATACAGGAGGTCGTGGGTTTCCGAACCTGACTGATGCTGTATATTTGGAGTTTGCGTCTCTCTCTCTCTCTCTCCTCGTGGTTGCGTGGATTTGTCTCTGGCTCCTCCGGTTTTTCCCTCCACATCTAAAATCAATCTCAGGAGTTTAGAGCATTAATGGCTGCTATAAATATCCACATGATAAGCCACTTCGTTGGAGCTATCACTTGTGACGGCCAGGTTGCTTCTGTAAAAGAGCTACATAGCTCAGTGGGGGCCTTACCTGGTAAAATATAAAAAAAACTTCATACATTTTTATTTAAAGCTTTCGTGACTGCAGGGATATATATAGTCTTGGTTCTTTCGGTAAAGTCACGTAGAAGGGAAGCAATAAAATTATAAAAATATACATTTAATTGTTTTTTTATTGTTTTATATTTTTATTATTTTCCTTCTACGTGACTTTACCGAAAGAACCAAGAATATAAAAAAACTTTATAGTTGCCACCAACCGGGTCAATTGGGGCTGAACACGTGTCACGAATAAACACTAATGCAGGGCCCAGGCCCCTGCTGATGCCTCCTGGATAAATAAAGAAATACGCATTATTATAATTTTAATGCCAAGGGAAACGTCCAAATGTTGCAGAAAACTGTAAGCGGTGACCTACGCACACACAGGCAGTGAAGTTACGTAAGAATAAAATGGATTCAACACGGAGGTTTTTGCAACCAATATTATCCACAAGAGTTTTTTTGGGCGAGATCGCGTAAATATAAATGTGTCGTTAAACCCGCCACCACCTGACACAGCCAATAAAAGTTTGTAAGATTTATGTTTACATGACAAACCTTATTAATTGGCTGTGTCGGGTGGTGGCGGGTTTAACGACACATTTATGTTGACGTGATCTAACCCAAAAATATATTATGAATAAAATGGAGTTTAATTGGATCAACTTCAAGAACTAAAAAAATCCCAAAACGCACTATCAGAATGTACGTAGTGACACAATCTGTCGCACGCAATTTCCCCGCGTCGCCCCAAATGGACACTTGATCACTTGCTCGCTCACCAACTCAAGTGCTCGCTCATCTGCTCACTCACTCACCTCACTTTCCTAGGTGAACGAGTGTAAAACAATCAATGTCCCATGTTTCTGAAGCATGTGTCCGTCATCTTCCAGGGCGGCACCACCTTTCATTTGTGCGTTTGACAGCAGCTCAGCTGAACGGGCCGATGACACTCTGGGCTACTTGCCCAGACAAGAATGTCACCCTGTTTCACGTCTAATCCAGATCGGGGTGAATCCGGTGCATGGTTCATACCGGCTCTGCCCATCTTATTATCGCCGGTGGCTGCTCTTTCTATTGTCATAAAATATTGGGTGGGCCACGATGGCTAGATGGTAACGACCTCGCCCAGTATGCAGGAGGTAATGGGTTTGATCCTGACTGACACCTGCTGTATATTTGGAGTTTGCATGTCTCTCTCTCTCCGGTTTTTCTCTCCATATTTAGAAACACGCATTTGGAGTATTTGGCTCCTGTAAATGTTCACATGACGATGAGCCAATTTGTTGGACTAGCGTATGTGATAGCCAGGTGGCTTTTGATCAAGAGCTACATAGAGCAGTGTGCCTGACCTGGTAAAACAAGAGGTTAGGTTGAGTGGGAGATCGCTTGGAAGTGAAGCCCTGGAGTCTGCTATAGAAGTGTGGGGGCTAGCTGCCGGGCGGCCGGGTGATGGGTGTGCAGCAATGGATTCTTGTATCCACCTGTGCGGAGCTTTGAAACGGCAAGGCACTCTGAGTGGCGTACCCGGGTGGGAGGGGTCACAGTTGATGATGACGCTGATGACGATGGTGATGATGGGGATTATGATGGTGACGAAGGTGATGGTGGTGATGGTATTTGTGGTGATGACAACGATGATGGAGGTGGTGATTCCGATAGGTAACTCGTGAAGCTGATTGACGAGTTCGTTATTGATGGGGAAACCAACTCCGTGCAGCTGCCAATTCCGGCCTGCAAAAGTGGACATCACAGATTTACCTCTGAGATCCCTTCTTCTTCAAACTAAACACAAACTTTGTGTCTACTTTGTTATCCTACCCCCACACTTCCGATTAGCACGGTTGGCTATATATGGTGTGAATTAAGATAAACATACATTCATACGGTCCACACAGAGTCGAGGGACAGCACGCTCGTCAGTCAACCCAACATTTGGGTTATTTCTAAATTTACTTTTTCGAATAGACTCACCCGCCCCTACAACAGGAATGTGGAATTTCCACCACTGGCTCCGCAGGGCTTCATGCGGGGGAGGCGATAGCCCGAAGGCTCGGCAAATATTTGAGCGGATCCAAATGACTTTGGATTTATTTATTGCCAGGGTTGTTGTGCCCCTGCTGCCGGTCGTTTGGATGTGAAGGTTCAAGGTCCCGTGGAAATTTGAGGTCACTGGAGGTCAGCGCAGCAATGACAATTTGCTACAAATTACAAACAACCGTTTCACAACGGGTGTTTGTAATTTGTGAGAAAAATAATATATTTTAGTTAAGTTTAGAATGTGAAATTGTAGCCATTGCTCTGAATCAGCGATACAAAGGAAGAAGAAGAAGAGGAAGAAGGGCCACAATTTGATAAACGGGGGCAGTGTCTTGTTTGGCAAGGTAAATTGCCAAGAGCAACTCGGGTTGCATAACAAACAAAACAAGCGTCTTATATTTCATTGCCGTTGGAAAAAAAAAACAAGGGATAAAAATCCGGTTCATCACAGATCCCCATGGCGGCGTATTGCAGTAAGCGCGCACGTGCATTCACGAGCGGCAACGCGTCCCTGGTTTTGCAATCGTGTTTACTGGGAGCCGAGAGGGGGCCCTCTTACAAGGACGTAGAGAGATCAATAGTCACACTGAGAGCCATGTGGCTACATAGAGAGCCATCGAGTTACATACATGGTGATGATGGCGATTATGACGACGACGATTGTGGCGATGATGATGATGGCGATGATGATGATGATGACGATGCTAATGATGATGGTGGTGGTGACGATAATGGCGATGATGAATGAGTGACTCCCGAGTGGCGTACCTGGGTAGGGCGGTTGATGATAATGGTGATGACGGTGATGCTAATGACAATAACGACGATGATGATGATGCTGATGAAGACGCTGATGACACTTACGATGATGACGTTGAAGATGATTATGATTATGGTGATTATGATGACGCCGACGATGACGGTGACGATGACGGGCGAGTGTGCGACTCCGAGTGGCGTACCCGGGAGGGCGGTTGTCGGGCACGTCGCGGTCGAGGGGCAGCCGGTCGCTCAGGTAGGCGTTGTAGCCGTAGGTGAGGAAGCGGGCGCACGCCTTGCGCCTCTCACGGGGGGGCAGCTGCCCCCCCCACTCCTTGAAGAGCGGAAGCTCGGGCCGCGCCACCACCTCGTTCCCCTCACACTCCTCCTCCTCCTCCACGTCCCTGCCGCCCTGCCCTGCTGCCGCCTGAGGCTCATTCCTGGCGCTCTTCATCTCTTGAAACGAAACGAAGAAACGGGACACAAGCAGAGAGCGAGACGTTCACTACCTCGCTTGGTATGCGGGAGGTCCGTGGTTCAATCCCGACCCTGACGATGCCTGCTGTTGTTTATTTGTATACGCGAGGGAGGGGGGGGGGGGCAATAACTCGAACCCCCATGCAGAAGGAACAGATGGATATCGTCACGGCCATGATCGTAGTGGGCGCTCAGAATCAACATCACGCGTTTGAGAGTTATGTGGCTGGCACGTGATGATGATAATTGCCGCTTCGTTGAGCTATCATTCGTGATAGGCAGGTCGCTTCTGAAAAAGCGCTACGTAGCTCAGTGGGCCCTTACCTGGTAAAAACACAAAAACATGATTTAGAGTTTAGATTAAACCCGGGTTCTCGAGTGTGGCGAGTTGATGGCTCCATCCTGGTCAAACAGAGTGGCCCTCTCCAGCTCTCGAGCCTGGGAGGCGCCTTCCACCACCACCACCAGCAGCAGCAACATGACCGAGCCGTTGCAGGTCGCTGCGGCTTTTGCCTGTGCGTGTTTTTTCGACACAAAACTGTGCTCGTCTGACATTCGTCTTCTCTCTCAACACAATCACTCCGTACCTAGCTGCCCTGTTAACTGCCTCCCATCAACCCTTCCCACCCGACCTGTTCTAACGCCACACCCAAGCCGAGCCAAGCGGTTGCGTGATCAAGTTCAAGTTTAAATCTTCACTGAAAGTTTTCGTGACTGCAGGAATTCATGCTCTTTGGGTATTTCGGTAAAGTCACGCTGAGGCAGTCCAACGGCAATCATTGCCAAGTAATCAATTGCCAAGGAAGAGCAATAAGTGATCAAACCAAGGGCGTCAAAACCACCAAGACTTTATGGGCTACCAAAGATTCACAAACCTGATATGTCATTAAGATCCATAGTTAGTACAACAGGCTCTGCCAAATACAAATGAGCACAATACGTAACGAAACAAATACAGCCCTACATCTACAGGACCTCTTTGTTCATTGCAAACTCAGAATATCTTGTAAATTTAATTAAAGATATTAAGCTTAACCCTAATGATATGAGAATAGGTTTTTCCCCCTTTTTTCTGGCAACAAAACAAACCTTTTTCGAGGAATCATGTCTGCATTAACCACAATACTTGTGGTCAGAAAGTAAACAAAAAACACTCTGATAATATATGCATTGTCTTTGAAACTGATTGGTCCACACCAGAGACAGCTTTCTTTCTACTTTAGTATAAATACATGTTCATTTTGATTCATATGTTGTTTTTTATGACTTTCTGTGAACGAAAAGACAAATTCTCCCGTTTTCTCATTGAACACAAAAAACCAAGGTTTATGGGGAATAATAGCCATTTCTATACTTTTTAGGCATCAGCAATACCCGAAATATCACTTACTACCCAGGAACAAAAATTGTGTTACATCGTGTTATACATGTGGAGGGGAAAAAGCGTAGTAGGACCCGTAGAAAACATCCACGCGACCACGGGGAGAGTGAGAGAAGGGATACCACAAAATTCAAATATGCAGCTGGTGTCAGGGTCGGGATCGAATTCACGACCTCCTGCATACCAGGCGAGGGAGTTAACATCTCCTAGCCACCGTGGCAAAGATTCGAACTGCAATCCTCCACAATGAGCGGCCACTACTGGGGCACTGTCAGTGCCCGATGGCGTGTGGCCATGGGAGATGTTGTGGCCATGGGAGATGTTGTGGCCATGGGAGATGTTGTGGCCATGGGAGATGTTGTGGCCATGGGAGTTGTTGTGGCCATGGGAAATGTTGTGGCCATGGGAGTTGCTGTGGCCATGGGAGATGCTGTGGCCATGGGAGATGTTGGGGCCATGGGAGATGTTGTGGCCATGGGAGATGTTGTGGCCATGGGAGATGTTGTGGCCATGGGAGATGTTGTGGCCATGGGAGATGTTGTGGCCATGGGAGTTGTTGTGGCCATGGGAGATGTTGTGGCCATGGGAGATGTTGTGGCCATGGGAGATATTGTGGCCATGGGAGTTGTTGTGGCCATGGGAGTTGTTGTGGCCATGGGAGTTGTTGTGGCCATGGGAGTTGTTGTGGCCATGGGAGATGTTGTGGCCATGGGAGATGTTGTGGCCATGCGAGATGTTGGGGCCAGGGGAGATGTTGTGACCATGGGAGTTGCTGTGGCCATGGGAGATGTTGTGGCCATGGGAGATGTTGTGGCCATGGGAGTTGTTGTGGCCATGGGAGTTGTTGTGGCCATGGGAGTTGTTGTGGCCATGGGAGTCGTTGGGGCCGGGGGAGTCGTTGTGGCCATGGGAGATGTTGTGGCCATGGGAGATGTTGTGGCCTGTGGAGTTGTTGTGGCCATGGGAGTTGTTGTGGCCATGGGAGTTGTTGGGGCCGTGGGAGTTGTTGGGGCCGGGGGAGTTGTTGGGGCCGTGGGAGTTGTTGTGGCCGTTGGAGTTGTTGTGGCCATGGGAGATGTTGTGGCCATGGGAGATGTTGTGGCCTGTGGAGTTGTTGTGGCCATGGGAGTTGTTGTGGCCATGGGAGTTGTTGGGGCCATGGGAGTTGTTGGGGCCATGGGAGTTGTTGGGGCCGTGGGAGTTGTTGTGGCCATGGGAGTTGTTGTGGCAGAGGGAGTTGTTGGGGCCGTGGGAGTTGTTGTGGCCGAAGGAATTGTTGTGGCCGGGGGGGTTGTTGTGGCTGAGGGAGTTGCTGTGGCCATGGCAGTTGTTGTGGCCGCGGGGAGTTGTGGTGAAGGTCGTTGTGGCTAGAGAGAGGAGTTGTGGCCAAGGAGTTATTGTAGCAGAGGGGAGTTGTAGCAGAGGGAGTTGTGGCCACGGGATCTGTAGTCAAGGGAGTTGTGGTTGGGGAGAATTTGTGGCTGGGGAGGAGTTGTGGCCATGGAAACTGTTGTGGCCGAACAGAGTTGTGGTGGTCTCCATACCTTGCAGGATCTTCACCACCATCCTCTCGATGTCGTTCAACTGTTCCGTGTATGGTTCGCTCTCCAACCTCCTACGGATGCTGAACATCGAACCAGGAGCCTCCCCCCGGATGGACCTCGAGGAGGAGTCCGAGGTGTCGTTCGAGTTCCTTTGGAGCCAGAAGAGGTTGACCAAGCAGGAGACGAGCAGCGCCACGCACAAGAGACTCGACCTCCGTGCCATTGCCATGGGAAAATCTGGAGCAGAAGAGAATCAGATTCGTCATTTATCCTGAGGTCGTGACCCTGACACCTGCTGGATATTTGGAGTTTGTGTCCACATTTAGAATCATCCTAACGCGTTTCAAGTATTCAGTTGCTACTCTAAATTTCCACACGGTAAGCCACCATGTTTGACTATCATTTTTGATAACCATTTCGCTTCTGAAATAGAGAACGCAAACTTCAAATATACCAGAAGGTGTCGGGTCGGGATTGGACCCATGACATCCTGTATAGCAGGCGAGGGAGTTAACATCTCCTAGCCGCCGTTGTGCCCAATATAGTGACTATATTTGAAACCAAAAAAGGTTGCTAGATCTTAGTCTAAGTTCTAATAATAAAGATAACCTGATTAAACAAATGACACAAAAACATGATACTCTTTCAACATTTATTTATCTTCAAATGATTCTACATGCAATAACCATGTGGGGAAAAACATGTGAACGTTTACATTCAGTAACCGCGGACACCCCCTTAAGCAGCAATGACTGCAACTAAGCGTTTCCTGTAACCATTGGTCAGTTCCTCACATCGGGTTTGAGGAATGTTGACCCATTCCTCCTTACAGAACTCCTTCAACTCGGTGGCATTTGAGGGTTGCCTTGCATGGACAGCTCGCTGCAGGTCCTGCAACAACATTTAGATGGGCTTTAGGTCCGAACTTTGACTAGGCCATTGTAAAACAAGTTTAGGATCATTGTCTTGCTGCAAGACCCACTTTCGGTTCAGCTTCAGCTCACGGGCGGGTGGCCTGACATTATCCTCTAGAATCTTCCAATACAATGCAGAATCCATGGTTGCGTAAATGTTGCCAAGCCGTCCAAGTCCTGAGGCAGCAAAGCAGCCCCAAACCATCACATTCCTCCCACCATGCCTTGCGGTTGGGATGAGATTCTTCTGTTCGAAAGCAGTGTTTGGTTTTCGCCAAATATAACGTTTCTGATTGAGGCCAATAAGTTCTACATTTGACTCGTCTGTCCAGAGAACATTGTTCCAAAAGTCTTGTGGATCATCCGTGCGCTCTTTGGCGAACTTCAGACGAGCAGCAAAGTGATTTTCTCCTATCTCTCCTTCTATGAACTTCATTCATGTTCAGTCTTTTTCTGAAAGTTGAGTCATGTACACTCACATTAGACAAGGAGAGAGTGGCCTGCAGATCATTGGATTTTTCTCCGGGGTTCGTTGTGACTTCCTTGATGATTTTCCGGTGTGTTCTTATGGAGATTTGGACGACCGCTCCTGCATAGAGTGACTGTGGTCTTGAACTTTCTCTATTTGTAGACAACTCTGTCTGACAGTAGATTGGTGGAGCTCCAAATCCGTAGAAATGGGTTTGTTACCCTTTCTGGACAGATGAGCATCAATAACTCATGACTTGTTTCCACACACCTTTATGGCGAAGACCAAACTCACACAGTTTCTGATCTTTTTATAGGGCAGTGCCTCCCAAACTCACCCCTGAACATCTACCAAATTCATTAAACACCTGATTCTAATTATTCCCTTAAGCTAATGAAACCAGGGCTTCACTCACTTTTTGACATACCCTGAACCTTAATTACTCATTGTTTGTTTATTTCTTACTTAATTTTGGTTCAAAAGACATGGAATTGGTTAATATAAACCCCGTTGGATATTTAAAAGGCCGGTTATGATTGAAGAAGACTATCGGGGTAAAACTATGGGATTTCCATCACTGTGATTGCGGTTAACACAATTTTTTTCTTTCACTGTATCACTCTATATGCTTGTTCCAATTGGCCGTGTTGATCCAGAGTCGTTGGGGTAAACACGCATGGATGGAACTGGTTTTACGACGTGGTATAATTTATGGCGGCATTGCTAGGTCCACTTCCCCACCTGGTACCAGGCACTGTGGCAATGTGAGCTGCTTGCAGGTGCAGACTAAAAATATACAATGCAATGAGGCTCTTCCTGATTTTGGCACGTATGCAAATACAGAATGTCCAATCAAATGTCAATTTATTAACATAAAATTTTCGTTTGGCTAGTTAGCATAAACACAGAATGGGACCACGCATCTACCTGCTACTCACACGTCCGGCCGCCCACTCATCAACCGATCCGGTCACTCACCAACCCATCCACTCACCAATCCACCCGCTCACTCACCAACCCACTCACCCATCCGCCCACCCACTCATCCACCCACTCATCCACCCACTCGCGCTGATAATCATTACACAACACAACCAGATACTCATTTGACCATGAGCGGGAATCGAACTCGGGTTCACCATGATTCGCAGGGCAGTGCGCTAACCACCTCATCACCCCCCCCCCCCACTTTCCCACCCCGCCTGTACCATGTGACCGCGACTTCAGCTCGAATGGGTAAAACGCTGGGTTCCATTTGGACGAAAGTAAATTTACGTGACAATAGTTTGGTAGTAAACTCCACCTTGGGGGCTTCACAGTCCAGTGGCGATCTGAGCCGGTCCCAAGCCTGGATATAAAGAAAACCCGTAAAGAAGGAAAAAGACGAAAGGAATCCAATGGCACGTGGCGGTGACCACAGGAGGAGGATGCCGGCTCAACGGGGCCCCCGGCTCAACGGGGCCCCCGGCTCAACGGGGCCCCCGGCTCAACGGGGCCCCCGGCTCAACGGGGCCCCCGGCTCAACGGGGCCCCCGGCTCAACGGGGCCCCCGGCTCAACGGGGCCCCCGGCTCAACGGGGCCCCCGGCTCAACGGGGCCCCCGGCTCAACGGGGCCCCCGGCTCAACGGGGCCCCCGGCTCAACGGGGCCCCCGGCTCAACGGGGCCCCCGGCTCAACGGGGCCCCCGGCTCAACGGGGCCCCCGGCTCAACGGGGCCCCCGGCTCAACGGGGCCCCCGGCTCAACGGGGCCCCCGGCTCAACGGGGCCCCCGGCTCAACGGGGCCCCCGGCTCAACGGGGCCCCCGGCTCAACGGGGCCCCCGGCTCAACGGGGCCCCCGGCTCAACGGGGCCCCCGGCTCAACGGGGCCCCCGGCTCAACGGGGCCCCCGGCTCAACGGGGCCCCCGGCTCAACGGGGCCCCCGGCTCAACGGGGCCCCCGGCTCAACGGGGCCGTGTCCTCAAAGCCAGGAACCGCGATGGGGTCGACTTTCATTTATTTATTAAGGAATCGGAAAGCGAGGAAGACCTTCACAGAGACAATCAGAATATTCAAGTACACTGTTGGAATCCGATAAGCTATCAAGCTCTTTTTCACAGATGTCCAGTCGGGGCAGGGTAAGGACGTTACACAACACTACAGAAAGGTAAACACATCACCAACACATCTACAAATACAACTAAACCATCCCCATCCTACCAGGCAAAGCTCACGGAGGTATTCACTTATTTTTTTTAGAAATGATAGCTCAAAGTGACGATGCCGACGACATCAAGACGTTGGTGCTACACAATATGCGGCCACTACCTGGGAGCATATTGGCACTACAAGACAGAGTAAAGTGGAAACAAATCTTCTCTGGTTCTTTCGGTGAAGTCACGTAGAATGAGAATAAAATAATAAAATAACACAATAAAATTCTGTACCTTTCACCTGAAGACGGCCGCTTGCGTTGTGGCCGAAACGTCGTGAGAATTTTATTTGTGTTATTTTATTATTTTATTCTCATTCTACGTGACTTTACCGAAAGAACCAAGGAAGATGAATCCTTGCAGTCACGAAAGCTTTAAATCGAAATGTAAACAAATCGCCAAGTGTGCTGTGGACACCTATTACGGGATGTCTGCCCGTGGATCGTCGTGATCATTATGATACACTATACACTACACCATTATACACTACGTTATACACAACACACTACAGTATGCACCACTATTATACACTACGTTATACACTACAATATACACGACACTACTATACACCACTATTATACACTACGTTATACACTACACACTACACTATACACTACCACTATTATACACTACGTTATACACTACACATGACACTATCTATACACCACCACGATACACTACGTACGACACTATACACCACCACTATACACTACGTTATACACTACAACACACTACAATATACACGACACTACTATACACCACTATTATACACTACGTTATACACTACGTTATACACGACACTACTTTAGAGCACGATACAAGAAGTACATTGACACTACAAGACAGAGAGTAAAGTGTAAACAAATGCCGGAGTGTGCAGTGGACGCCTCCTACGGGCCATCTGCCCATGGATCGTGATGATGAATTTGTACTAATTATAATAATTTGTACTAATTATAATAATTTGTACTAATTTATAATAATTAGCACGAACATCCCGCAGGCCGGGTTTCAGCGAGAACGTCGAGCGGGATTCTCACCCCACAAAGTCGGGCACGCCGAGGATTGCAGAGTGGCTGCCTACGAGCGGTGGCGCAGCGGTTGGCACACTCCGGCTCCGCGTAGAAATCCGCGGCAGCCACCACGCGGCGTGGATTTCCCAGCCCCACGGGGCCCGGCGAACCTCAGCAAGGACAGCAGCCCCGTGGCACGGCCACCACCATTCCCCCGTTCACTCGCCCAGCCGCACTGACCAGCGTGGTGAAGTATGGTCAAACAACGCCGCACGGCCAAACACCTTCACGCAGGAGTCTAGCGATGCCGTATGTTGGACTACATGCGAGTGTGCCTGTGTCCACGTGCGTTATATTGGTGTCTGTGTGTATATGGGTACGTATGTATATTTGTGTACGAGTTATATTGGTGGATGTGTGTGTAAACCTCGCCACTTAGGGATACAAAGGCGGCCGGGCGTGGTGCTGACCACCCTTATGTGCTGCTACTCGCTACTAACAGCACTTGTCCCGACAGTCTGTTGAACGCAATACGGGGGGGGGGGGGGGGGGGATATTTGGCTTTTGTGTGCGTGGGTGGGTGGGTGAGGAGTGCGTGGGACGAGCGAGTGAGGATGCGGGCTAGTGGGTGGCTGGGTGGGTGAGTAAGCGATGCGAGTGGCTGGGTGAGTGAGTAAGCGAGCGAGTGGCTGGGTGGGTGAGTAAGCGAGCGAGTGGCTGGCTGGGTGAGTAAACGAGTGACTGGCTGGGTGAGTAAGCGAGCGAGTGGCTGGGTGAGTAAGCGAGCGAGTGGGTGGGTGAGTAAGAGAGCGAGTGGGTGGGTGAGTAAGCGAGCGAGTGGGTGGGTGAGTAAGCGAGCGAGTGGGTGGGTGAGTAAGCGAGCGAGTGGGTGGGTGAGTAAGCGATGCGAGTGGCTGGGTGAGTGAGTAAGTGAGCGAGTGGCTGGGTGGGTGAGTAAGCGAGCGAGTGGCTGGCTGGGTGAGTAAACGAGTGACTGGCTGGGTGAGTAAGCGAGCGAGTGGCCGGGTGAGTAAGCGAGCGAGTGGGTGGGTGGGTGAGTAAGAGAGCGAGTGGGTGAGTAAGCGAGCGAGTGGGTGGGTGAGTAAGCGAGCGAGTGGCTAGGTGAGTAAGCGAGCGAGTGGGTGGGTGGGTGAGTAAGAGAGCGAGTGGGTGGGTGAGTAAGCGAGCGAGTGGGTGGGTGGGTGAGTAAGCGAGCGAGTGGGTGGGTGGGTGGGTGAGTAAGCGAGCGAGTGGGTGGGTGGGTGGGTGAGTAAGCGAGCGAGTGGGTGGGTGGGTGGGTGAGTAAGCGAGCGAGTGGGTGGGTGGGTGGGTGAGTAAGCGAGCGAGTGGGTGGGTGGGTGGGTGAGTAAGCGAGCGAGTGGGTGGGTGGGTGGGTGAGTAAGCGAGCGAGTGGGTGGGTGGGTGGGTGAGTAAGCGAGCGAGTGGGTGGGTGGGTGAGTAAGCGAGCGAGTGGGTGGGTGGGTGAGTAAGCGAGCGAGTGGGTGGGTGGGTGAGTGAGTAAGCGAGCGAGTGGGTGGGTGGGTGAGTGAGCGAGCGAGTGGGTGGGTGAGTAAGCGAGCGAGTGGCTGCCTGAAAGGTGAGTAAACGAGTGGCTGGCTGGGTGAGTAAGCGAGCGAGTGGGTGGGTGAGTAAGCGAGCGAGTGGGTGGGTGAGTAAGCGAGCGAGTGGGTGGGTGAGTAAGCGAGCGAGCGAGTGGCTGGGTGGCTGGGTGGGCGAGTAAGCGAGCGAGTGGATGGGTGAGTAAGTGAGCGAGTGGCTGGGTGGGTGAGTAAGCGAGAGAGTGGCTGCCTGGGTGGGTAAGCGAGCGAGTGGATGGCTGGGTGAGTAAGCAAGCGAGTGGGTGGGTGGGTGAGTAAGCGAGCCAGTGGGTGGGTGAGTAAGCTAGCGAGTGGGTGGGTGAGTAAGCGAGCGAGTGGCTGCCTGGGTGGGTAAGCGAGCGAGTGGCTGCCTGGGTGGGTAAGCGAGCGAGTGGCTGGCTGGGTGAGTAAGCGAGCGAGTGGCTGCCTGGGTGGGTAAGCGAGCGAGTGGCTGGCTGGGTGGATGAGTAAGCGAGCGAGTGGCTGCTGGGTGGGTGGCTGGGTGGGTGGCTGGGCGGGTGGCTGGGTGAGTAAGCGAGCGAGTGGGTGGGTGGGTGAGTAAGCGAGCGAGCGGCTGGGTGGGTGGCTGGGTGAGCCACCGCGGAATTTATTTCCTTCAATCGCCACCTGCAACTCCTGAGCGGACCCCCACCACCTATCCCGCGCGCGTCGCTCCGGAACACTCGAGGCCGATTTCACTTCACTCACCTGAAACATTCAGCCAGGTAACGTTCTTTAGCGACTTGAAATGTTGGTTATTGTTTTTGAGTGCCGATTATGTCGCAGGTAAGTAGATTTTAGTTTTTTTGTAATCTCGCCACCTCATGTATATACGCGCGACCCATTTAAAGATGCCCCACTCATTGCTAATTTAACTCTTGCCGCTAACATTACCCCCGTGTCTCTCTCGATATCTCGGAGCCAGCGAGTATATTCTTTTTGTTCTTTTTAAAATGTGTGATTTGCTCGGGTATCTTGTTGTTTGGAAGTGATGGTTTTTTATAACAAAAACAAGATGTTAACGAACAGACGTGGAGAGAGCGAGCCAGAGAGAAAAGGAGGCTTTTAAACTTTTATTCTCTTACGCTTTGGTTTTTTCGGTAAAGTCACGTATAATTAAGAAATAGTAAACTAACATAATAGCGTACGACGTTTCGGTTGTAACACAATCAGCCATCATCAGGTACAGAAGAGCTCAATTTATGAGAGAGGGGAAACACATATCCTCAGGATGTATATACAGACACCCAAGTAGGGAGAATTGACACAGATACAACAGGGGACACAGAGAGAGAAGCATACCAGACAAACAGGGTTTAGCAAATTTTTTGGAAACCATGTAAAGCAACACAGACGGTCGGTCAAAACACAATTAACGCATAGTCCGGTTGATCACGCTATTTCAAAGATTGCTAAATTGCAAGTTAAGCATGAAACTCAAAATACAGACCGCACACACACAGACATCCGAGTAGAGCGAGCCAGCACAGAGACAAGCACACAGTAAAGTCGCCTGAAATAGGCAGAGAAGGGACTTTTTTGTCGCTCGTGCAGTAATTACGCGAGGTATCTACAAATGGATCAGCCTGCATTGAATCCCATTGTAAAATCACGCGTTTCCAATCCACCCCCCCCCCCCCCTGTATTTTGAATAATAAGTTCAAATTACGTCTTATTATCCGATCGTTGTGTGTATGTCCAGATTTGTGTAACTTTGAGTGCGTCTTATAATCCGGTGTCGGTGCGAATCGATTTGTATCGTCACCGCCGAGTGCGTGTCCATCGCGAGCATCCACCGGTAAAAGGAACTTGGCATGTTGTACATTAATACTGCAAAACAATCCGACGTTTATACTACCAAGCGAATTACCGAATATTCTTATATTATTGAGTTGGTAACTGTTGCATTTTTTGAGGTTATAAAGGGTGTTCCGTATAAGATAACATTTTGGCGTGAACGTTACATTAATAAGATAAGGGCAAAGATCCCCCGATAGCCTTAACAGACGGTTGGGGCAAGTGCTGTTAGCGAGCACCTATGAAGGCCGGCACTGTGGCACACGATGGGGTGGGGTGGCCAGCGCCACGCCCGGCCGCCTTTGTCTCCCCAGTAACGATGTTTACACACCAGGTACTTATTTGAGGCCGAGTCGACCTAGGAGAGACCCATGACCAATTCAGATAATCGGCAATGGTGTTGGCCGTGAGCGGGAATCGAATTCGGGTTGTCGGTTTCATAGCGCATCGGTCACCGCTCCCACACTATTCATTAGCTATACATAGTGCTGCTCTTGAAAGATAAACTCTGCACGCTTAGTGCCAGACACACGCACTCATGCACTACACTTACATAACCCCACATTCATCTCCCTCCGGTAAGTGCTATGTACTTTGTTTTTAATCACAATGAAACCTAACACCATTACGTTAGGTTGCATTGTGTTCCTGGGTGTGTAATTATAAATCTTGCGAGCTTCGACTCGGCTTCATGTATTTTGTTTACTGTTAGCTTGATCAAATATTACGCAACAGGTCATAATCAACATCGAGTTTTACGTTTATGGAACTGGAATAAATAATGAAGAATGCGTCCAAGCCGGCAGAATGGATGACGATGACATTATCGAAATGTAATTGGATCATCGGCTGCTCGAATGTGTGGTTCCTATACAATTTTTGCAATTCAGTAGTTTTTTTTAGCAAACTTGCAATTTATTGTAATGAAAATATAAGCAGCAATCTCTCCACCGTGTGACCCCACCAACGTCAATTATTTGCGTGCCAAATTAAAGCGATGGGAAGTGCAAATAATGAAGATTCGTCGATGCCGAGGTATTTCTAAAATACTCACAAATCAAGGAGCTTGCAATCTTTCTCTTTAATATCTTCACCGAACTCTGAGCGTCAACTTTACGTTTCGCATACGCGAGCCGCAGAAATGCGTTTCTGTGATTTACACGGATCCTAAGAGAAGCCACAACCGGTGTGGACATGAAAATCCACGGCCCTCTTCAACTTCCTCAAGAAAATAAAGATGACCACAGCGAAAATGGTGGTGGTGTGTGGGGGTGGTGGTGGTAGCGTGGGGTGTGGGGGGGGTGGTGGTAGCGTGGGGTGTGGGGGGGGTGGTAGCGTGGGGTGTGGGGGGGGGTAGCGTAGGGTGTGGGGGGGGGTGGTGGTAGCGTAGGGTGGGGGGGTGGGTGGTGGTAGCGTGGGGTGTGGGGGGGGGGGTGGTAGCGTGGGGTGGGGGGTGGTGGTAGCGTGGGGTGGGTGGGTGGGTGGTGGTGGTGATAGCGTAGGGTGGGGGGGTGGTGATAGCGTAGGGTGGGGGGGTAGTGGTAGGGTGGGGGAGTGGTGGTAGGGTGGGGGGGGTGGTGGTAGGGTGGGGGGGTGGTGGTAGGGTGGGGGGGTGGTGGTAGGGTGGGGGGGTGGTGGTAGGGTGGGGGGGTGGTGGTAGGGTGGGGGGGGTGGTGGTAGGGTGGGGGGGTGGTGGTAGGGTGGGGGGGTGGTGGTAGCGTGGGGTGGGGGGGGGGGTGGTAGCGTGGGGTCGGGGGGGTGGTAGCGTGGGGTGGGTGGGTGGTGGTGGTAGCGTGTGGTGTGGCGGTGGCGGTGGAGGTGGCGGTGGTGGTGGCGGTGGTGGTGTGGGGGTGGCGGTGGCGGTGTGGGGGTGGCGGTGGTGGTAGCGTGGGGTGGGTGGTGGTGGTGGTAATAGCGATATCGACAAGTCTAACAAGGCTGAAGTCTCCAAATAACTTTTACGTGCGAGTGATCGCGACCCGAACTTGGCCGTGAAGGTCGTAGTAATAATCGATGTAGTAGTGGTAGTTACCGTTTGTGGGGGGCGAGGATAAAGGCGCAGCAATATCCTTGCTGGTTCACAACCCTCCTGCTTGGGCGAGACGATTGTGTTTGTCAGCTAGTGTCCGCCACGTCGATTTATTTATTTATTTCGACTAATTAGGATAAAGGCGCAGCCCCTGCGATGTCTTCCCTGTTTCACGCCACTCCCTTTGAGAACGGCTTTTTGTGTTTACTTGATTTGGCTCCCCCCCCCCCCCCTGTACTCTCGCACCTCCGACTAGTACGGTTTGGCTACGTAGGGTGTGAAAGAAGTTCAACATCCACACGTACAAAGAGACCCACAGAATCTCTCGGCTTAATTCGGTACACGTGTCGCACCTGCAATGGCTCCCGATGATATAATTACATTTCGAGAATGTCATCCACTCCGCCGGCTTGGACGCGTTCTTAATTATTCATACTCGGTCCGTGGGCTTACAACTCGACATTTGTGATAACCTGTCGAGTAACATTTGACATATTCTTAGTTCTTTCGGTAAAGTCACGTTGAAAGGAAACAATAAAATAATAAATTATATAAAAACAATAAAAATTCTCACGACGTTTCGACCATAACACAAACGGTCGTCATCAGGTGTGTCGGTTTGCATAAATGTATTAATTTGCAAACGGTGTATTTATTTATTTATTTCTAAAAACCGTCAGCGCCACGCGCAGCGATTTGGCAGTTTATTTAGAAGGACTAGTCCATCTATGTTCTGAAAAGAGGAGGGGGGAGACGAAAAATTAATGTATGCTGTCTGAAAGCCACTGTAAGCACGTGGCGCTAACGTGTTTTTTTTTATAAATAAATAAATACACCGTTTAAAAATAAATTTATGCAAACCTGCAATGATTCATCTTCTTTGGTTCTTTCGGTAAAGTCACGTAGAATGAGAATGTCCTACCAGACAGTCGCGCCCCTTCACCTGATGAAGGCCCGCTTGTGTTGTGGCCGAAACGTCGTGAGAATATTATTGTGTTTTATTTTATCAATTTATTATTTTATTCTCATTCTACGTGACTTTACCGAAATAACCAAAGAAGATGAATCATTGCAGTCACGAAAGCTTTAAATCGAAATTTATGCAAACCGACACACCTAATGACGACCGTTTGTGTTATGGTCGAAACGTTGTGAGAATTTTTATTGTTTTATATATATATTATTTAATTGTTTCCCTTCAACGTGACTTTACCGAAAGAACTAAGAATATGAATAACTGCAGTCACGAAAGCTTTAAATCAAAATTCAACATTTGACAGTCAACAGTCTACAAAAGCCATGCAGCCAAGTAGAGGCTCACACCATTTATAATTATTACACATTTAGAAATACATGTTCCTACTTAACGCGATCGCGAATGATGCGAATGCGGGCTTATGTGAGTATTGTGTATAATGTGTGCGTTATGTGAGTATTGTGTATGATGTGTGCGTTATGTGAGTATTGTGTATAATGTGTGTGTTATGTGAGTATTGTGTATAATGTGTGCGTTATGTGAGTATTGTGTATAATGTGTGCGTTATGTGAGTATTGTATAATGTGTGCGTTATGTGAGTATTGTGTATAATGTGTGTGTTATGTGAGTATTGTGTATGATGTGTGTGTGGCTCTGAGGATGCAGAGTTGTGTATATATAAAAGTAATGGTGTGGGAGCGGCTGGCGCTACGCTGGGCTGCAAACCCGGCGAGCCAATTTCGATTCCGCTCACGGCCAGCACCAGTGACGATGATTTGAACCGGTCCTGGGTCACCCCTAGATGTGTCGTAAACATCGCCCCTGGGGAGACATGCAGCCGGGCGTGGTGCTTGCTGGCCACCACACCCCCCCCCCCCGTGTCGCGTGCCGGCCTTCATAGATGCTGCTCGCTCACAGCCCTT